AAAAAAAGAGCTTTTATAATTAGATGATAAATTAATTTAAGACAAATTTAAAATAAAAAATACTTATTTCTATTAATAGATTCTTAATATTTAAATTAATGAAAATTTTTTTGATTAAAAAATTATTATAAAATTAAATAATTAATATAGAAGACGTAAAAATAATCTCATGCAACACACGAGTTAAAAAAAAAAAAACTAGTATATATATAAAATGTCACCCATGTATTGATTGATATCTAAATATAAATATATATATTTTTATCTATTTTTCCTTTTAATTTGTGTTAAATGCTATCCCTCCCTTAATTATTTGTGTTAAATGCATTAATCTCATTTTTATCATCTATTTTACCTTTATTATATTGTACTTGAAAAGTATGATGTTTTGTTTCTTTTGCATTTTAAATTTATTTACTTTCAAAGAGAAAGTTAAAAAGATAGCTTTGATCTTACACATTTAAAATAATTAAATATTCTCTTTAATCATTTCTCAAAAATATTCTCTTTAATCAAGAGAAAAAAAACTTACCTATTTGTTAATTGAGATCTAAATATAAATTTATATTTTTATCTATCTTTCATTTTAATTTGTGTTAAATGCAATCCCAATAATTTTTTTTTATGAAACCTTAATAATTTGTGTTCAATGCATTAATCTAACCTATTATCTTGTATTTTACCTTGGTTATATTGTATTTGAAAAGCATAATGTTTTGTTTTCCACCTTAAATTACATTTATAGGTTATTCTTAGGTGGAATCTTTTCACTTCTTTATTTACTACTTTGGTTTCTTTTGTATTTTAAATTTTATTTACTTTCAAAGAGGAAGTTGAAAGGGTTATACACTTACTCTAACTAAATATTCTGTTTAGTTGAGAGAGAGAGAGAGAGAAAAAAACTCAAATTTCATTTATTTCATTTCTTTTTAAACTCACTCACCCTCAATTCTCATTGCATTTCTTGGATTGATTTTTCAAATTCATCGACGAGAATAGAAATGAATTGAAGCTAGCCATTTGTGAAAATAAAAGTTGAAAATAATTACGATTAGAATTTGTTTTCCATTTGGTATAATTTTGGTTGATAATTTACCACTTCTATGTATATCATTTTGGCTTATAATTTCCAAAACCTTTTCTACTTAGTAATATTTTTATATGATATTTGTCATGTTATTTTATTTATTAGATTGCTAAATTTTACTTTTATTTTGATATATATGTTTTAACTATTTTTATTTTGTTATATGATTATAGATATCCAACATATGCTATTGAGGGAGCTTATCTAAGGTATGTTAGTCTTTTTTTAATTATATAAATATATGATTTAGTTTTTGTAAATTGTATATTTAAAATGATGTTTTTAATTTCATTTTAAGTTTATAGTTTAATATTGTTTCATTTTAAAAGTTTAATTTCTTACTTCCATTTGTGGTTAAGTTTTATTTAATATACTTATCAAAAAAGTGTTTTTAAGGTGGAAACTGATCTGTACACACTTGATTTGACGCATTTTCTGACATACTTTCAATACAATTATTAAAAATATAATATAAATATAGTAGATTTAATCAGTTTTTACATTATGTGTGCATGATTATATTTTTAAACTTCTCTGTCTTCAATTACAGACAAAAAAATAGT